TCAGTAAAGAAAAGTGACATCACTTAATTACTAATAATAAATTTAAAGTCGCCATGAAGAACCCTTAATGAGAAATCATCTCGAAGAGCGGTAAAAAACTTTATTAAATTTGAGTACAGAACTAAATGTGTGTACAAACTGTTAAGGTTAACAAAAGTTTGATATGATCGTGGTTCAATGCAATAAAAATAGGTTGATAATAAAAACATACTTATCGATTTTGTGTTATAACAGACTATTATAAATTTATAGATGCATGTAATGTCTGTTAACGTTAAACATACCAGGGATAAACTAAAAACTTTAATTAACTTGAAATTATGAGTATTAGCCTCACTAAAAAAATGTTGACTAAAATTTATGATAAATATATAAATTTTCCCTATTAAGTCGAACTCTTTATAAAGTGCTTATAATTCAGAGCGGGCTCCTGGCCCTGTTAATTAAAGGATTTGGGCGGGAATGTTCCTTCGTGTTAGTATTCCAGGGAAGGGAATCCTCTTACTTAATAAGAGACTTGATACACTTTAGCGGTATATTGCTATAAAAATTTAAATCACATTTCAGATAGATTTTGGACCTTCCAAGGTAACGACTACTTTTTTTAACGAAAATAGGTTTATTTTATAAGTAGGTACCTACTACTAAGTACTATAGGCATATACCTATATAATATTTTTATAACCCTGAAATATTTTCTTATTTAAAAAATACTACTTCTTAATCGGAGGATGACAATTGTGATCACGTCCGGTTAGTGCTCCTAGATATTTTGGAGAAGAGAACTAAACAATCACTGCTGTCGCATATAACAGTCCCAAAAAGCTACTGGAAGACTCGTTGTAAAAAGTCGATGTTAAGAGGCGTAAGGGAAAAAAAAAACTCTTTAATTGGTACCAATGAATTTTATTTATCTTTAGGTTGACGTAGTTTTCTTATTAATGGCCTGACACAGTCACTTAAAAAAATATTTTATCATTGTAAAAGAATTGTAGAGGAAGAATAAAGAGTTCAGGGTTAAGTGATCATATGACTTAATATGAAATCATATTAATCATATTAACTGAAAATATGAAATAAGGACCTCAAAACGAAAAAAAAAATCCTATGAAGGTATGTCCCCAAAAGCTCTCTTTAGATATTCACACCTTAACATTTTCATTGTTATGAATTATTTACGATACATTCAGTAAATAAAACTTATTTATTTGTTCCAACTACTTTATTAATTAAACGTAAACATTAAATGTTCAAAGATATATGTATATATATATATATATATATATATATATATATATATATAGGAGAGTTTCAGGCTTAAGTTGCCAATCTGCAAAAATGAACTATGGACCTTAAAACTATTTCCTCTGAAGGTATGTCCTTCAGAAAAGCATAAATAAAGCGTTTGCCTAGAATGGATGGATTAGATGGAATACTAATATGGCTTAACACTATTTGGAATTTGCATTGGGAACTTTCAATAACATTTATCAGTTAGTAACAGTCTTTGGCAGAGTACTCATCATTATGCCTTCCATTGATTCTATGATTTAGTTGAACATATTCCACTAAAACTGAGAAGGGACATGTAGCTTAGATGGTTGTCTTGCACATTACGGACAAAGAGGTCCACGACAGCTAAATATTAATTTATCCCAATCAATGGCTTGTCCTTGCGGAACCAGTGGCTTGGCCTGCACGCTTTGCAGACCTGACACCACTGGATTTTTTTTTTTTATTTTGGGGGGGGAGTTACATTAAACAAAAAGTCAATGCAAGTCCGGTCAATGATGACCTTAATTCTTTACGATCTTAATGCTCAATTGAAATCTCGAAAAATTAAGGTTGTACGTTACTATGATAAAAAACAGTTCCAATATATGGTAGTGTGACCTGGACACTAAGCAACGCCCTTGAAAAAAGTATTGAAAGATTTGACAGAAAAATACTTCGAACGATAACCGAAACGATCTAGAGTCGGTATACTAACGCATGGTGAAGAAAGGCCAATAAAGAGCTGCTTACGGAAATTGATCAATCAATATCTGATAATATAAAGGCACGCAGGTTAAGATAGGCAGAACATGTATAAAAGTCTGCATAACAATAAAAGCAATAGAAGGTAAAAGACCACGTGGAAAGCCAAAGAGCAGACGGATAGATCGAATCAGTATGTATGCAATAGAGCTGCTTACAGATAGCTGAAAAAAAAATCCCAAAATAGGAAGAAATGGAGCTGACTTGTTAATGCGGCAAACGATTTATAAGGTCTTTGAAGCCAACAGAAAAAAAAGTCTTAGGAAAAGAACGATTCTTTTGTTCTTGGCGGGTAAACCCCATGTTATTATTAATATCAGGACAAAATAATAGTTATACGTACTCACAATATATAGTATATTTATATTGGATCGCGAATTCTGATCTATTAGTCAAAGCATCACAGTATAAAATTCGTGTACAAGAAAAAGCCAGTACTGATCCTCTAAACATGTTTTCCAACAGAAATTTCAGCCCTACCATACAGATAAAAAGTTTCACGTCAGATAAAACAGTTAAGAAACGATATGTTTGGTACTAGATATTATCAATTCTAGAAGAGACATAAAAAAAATATGACAGTTTCATGTTATTTATGATTTATAATTCTATTCAGTAAGTCGCTATGTTCAATATATTCACCATTGAATTTAATGAGCGAAAGAAAAACTGATTGGAAGGTAATATCTTTGCTCAGTCAGCATATAAAGATTTTTTTTATCTATTTTATTTACCCACATAATTAGAAAGATAGACGGTACAATAAAGGATTTATTTTTTTGAATGCTGGTGACAGAGACTGGAACCAGCGAACTAAATGATGAGATTATATTGCTCACTGGATTTTCCCCAACCTCTGGAAGGGGCAGTATATTCATTAACACAGCCGATAAATTTCCATTAATTCGCCCCTTTTATTAATTTCCCTTATCACAGAACGTAATAATGCACTCTAACAATAAAACTTCTTCCAGGAGGATATATTTAAATAATGCCAGCAACTAAAATTCATCTTTGAAAATCATATCTATTGTAGATGATGTTGAAAATGTAGTTTTCAAAAAGATGAATTTTTTTTTTAAAAATAAATATTTAAGATGGTGTCTATAAATTTATAATTAATCACGGTGTTTAGAGAATGGTGACATTTTGAGTAATTCCTTTTTTGTTTTGCTCTCTACAGATATACATTTTAATTTCCAACAAAATTTTTGAAAAATTAATCTTTCTGTTGAAATCTATATATATTTCCTTGTAATCATGCATATGATAGGAATTGCTTATGAACAATTGACTGTCCCAACTACATTAAAAATGGAAGAAGAAGAACTTTCATTTTTCACCTCGTCACTTTACGTTGCTTTCTGATCCTTGGTAGCTGAAGGTTAAGAAAAGAATGGCAAACAAATCAGGAGGTATCAGCCCCATCGAGAAAAACTTCAGGCCATTGTCATTCCATTGCCGTTCCAAAAGGTTTTAAAAATATATTAGTGTGAACTATAAGTTTCTTATTTTTTTTTTGTTTATTGTTTTAGGTTGATTTATTGTGTTATATATGAACCGCTCTGCTCTATTACCTTCTTCAATTTCTCAGAAAGCCTCATTATTTCTCTTTCCAAAATGTTGAAACTTACTTGCAAAATATTCATCAAGATACCTTTTTATTTTGCTTCCGGAATTGTGATATTTATCACTGTAATTTTTCTAACGAAAGAAACAAGTAATAAACGGATGGAGCAAGGTATGTTGAATACGAAGGATAAAGTAGAACGACCCAATCAAACTGTAAGAGTTTCTGTATAACGGCCACCCAACATGCGGCTTGAGACTTATTTTGCAAGTAAGACTCATCAATTTTGGAAGGAATAAATAATGAGACATTCTGAGAGATGGAAGAAGGTGATAGAACAGAATGGTTCATATATAACATAGCAAATGAGCCTTAAACAACAAATTAAAAAAAAAAATAAAAAATCAAGGAACTAATGTGACTTTTTAATATATTACCTTATTGCATTATAATGAAGTACTAAATATTCTCCCTTACTCTATTAAAACACTGTCAAGCGTATCTCAGGTTTGAAATTAAGTGATTGAATCAAATTTCAAATTGTTATAAAGGAGTAAACCAGTGAGTAAGCCAATGAACTCCTACCTCTCAGGCAGACAATTTATTTATTTTATTACAAGGGTTGACTCTAGGATTGGAAGACTCTTCAGGAGCACATCCAGCCTTTACAAAGTGGGAATCTAACGGAAGTAAATATAGTTACAATTGGTAACTTTTCTATTGTAATCTGTATTTTATAGTTGATTTGTAAATCAAAATATTTATCGCGGATCAGAAGTCAATAGATAGAATGTACTCTGTTGTGGTCACAACTAAGCGATCACTGTGATCATTTATAGAAAAGAAAAGTCCTTATTGTCACTCGACTTTATAATGGATTAGTTTTTGTGATTAAATAACTAAATAAAGAAGTATGCATATACTGTTTGAGGTTTCTAGAAGCAAATTAACCAAAACTGAGTGACCAAAGCTAAGCTTTTAGTAAACGAGGATTAAAGATAAATCTCTCCTGTAATTGCAACTAACTATAGTTTGATTATCACTGAAGAACAATGAAATATAGTCATGAATTTATTAATTATTTAATACATTTATTTGTATTAAATAAGTATTTTTCATATTTCTTTGTTATACGAATAAAACTTGTCCAACTGCTGCTTGTATCCTTTTACCTCCAAATCCCAATTAACATTTGTTTGGAGGTTAAGTGATGAGCTATTATAACGGGTCACGGGGTGGACAGAACAGACATATTTCTATACTATGGAGTTAATTGACTAATTTCCAGATCAACCTTGATTTAAGTCTATTTTTTCAATAAATTCTAGTCTATTCCTCATTTACAAGATTTGTTGAAAAATAAAAAAAAAGGTATTAATAAAATAAATATGACTTACGAGAAATTGAACCTGCACAATGGAATGCCATTGATGTTCTCCTCAGGAGGTAGGTCCACCGGGGGAATCCTCTGCTCGTTCCAATAGGTCACGTGACCCTCCGTCGTGATGACGTAATGGAGGTCACGATCGCAGGGGCAAGATGACAGAACTATAGCCTTAGCGTCGTCTCCAGGCTGCAAAAATATTTTAATTGAGAAATCAATATAAGTTTTTACCATTATAAAAAAATAAATTAAAAACACTATTAAAGTTATTAAAAAAAAAATTTAAACTACCTTTTTCAATTTTTTTTTGCTGAACATAGGATAATTAACGATTTATTTAGAAATATAATATCATTAATTGTATGCAATTTACAAATTCTTTATTCTATTAGTGTCTATTTCTTATCTTGAATACTTTATTAGCCATTATTACTCACTTATTTTTTAAAAGTATAAAATATTAGGATTTATTGAAATTGTCTTCTGTCTTGGATTAAGGATAAATAAAAAATATTGAAAATAATTGTAATTATAATAATAATATAATCAATTTAAAAAGTGTCTAACTGTTTTTTAGCAATATTAGTATCATAATTTCAATTCTGAACTCTCATTAGAATCAATTCATGAAGTCAGATTTACCATTGTATGAAAAAAAAGTATTAAGGTTTTTTTTTTTTTTTTTTTTTAAATGAAAACTGGACTCAAATCTTTACTGTAGAATAATTTCACTTTATTGTACAAAAATATTTCTAACAGATCACAATTGGTTGTAAAATAGGCATAAAATAAATTTTAAAAATTTTAATTCCAATTTTTATTATATTTATTCACATCACTACTTAAACCCATTTGGTAATACGCCTCACAAATATACGGTTCACCGAAAAAGAATCACTTACAAAAACTGTAATATTATCAGTATAAAATTTCACGACTGATAATAACAGCTCCCTGGTACGTAAACAACAAAACTATACGTAACGACAAACTATCGACAGTTACGGAATGTACTTAATCCGTAAAAAATAATAATAATAATATTAATTTAACTTTTATTTTGTTAAATATCTCAATTGGTGAATCATGTATTATATTGTCGTTTCCCATGACTCAAAGGATAAAAGAACAAAGCAACGCTAGATAGCCAGGTCAAGCTATCTCTGATAGCTTAAAAATATTTATCTAGAATGTACTGACTCGACAGAAGACCCGTTATCAAGACTTAAGCAACAATAACCGATTTCAGTAAAAGGGCTGAAGAATATTAACTATGGATAACTTCCTTTGCCGTCCCCTTCCGACTGCTTGGGTATATAAACCCCATGCTCCTCAGACCAAATCACTCATGCAGATACATTCTTGAAGTCACACTCTTCACTGTAGGAGACCTAGAGTGAACTCGTGTAGTCAACCCATATACCCATAGTAGATTACTCTGTATGTTAGATGCCATTTGTAACAGACATTATGAATAAAAGCATTACTTATAAAGTAGTCCTCCGATTCGTTAACTGACTAACACATACGTACTCTCTACTCACGATTTCATGTTCAACTACAAGGACATAACAATAGTCTCATAACCAACATGTCCACCGTTAATATGCCCTTTATAATGGGACTGAGGAGATTTCTGAATAAGAGATCTTCTTCACTGATTTTCGGAAGCAAAGACCAGGAAGAGGTGTCATTTGGTAGCTATCCCTCCTCATGCCTGTCATGCCACTACCATTTGATCAAATCTGCTAATTGTCACTCTGATAACAGTTGCTGATGGAGGTGTGAAGAGAGATGGATATGTAATAATATTTTTAATAAAAAATTCGTAATTTTATTTAAAGATATATTTTTGTTTTTTCAATATTAAAAATAAGGACAAGAAATGATTCTGTTGTCAATACAAAATGTATTCATATGTATTTTATAAGGCTAATTTTATTTCAAGTAAGAACCCTTACTAACAAATTAGTAGTGAAAACATTATTTTTTTTCTTTTAATTAGTTTGATTTTATTGATGATTGGACCATAAATGAAATATTTTATCATTGTTTACTTAAGAAATTTCTACTTATTCAATCATTTTTCATATCAATTGTTTATCTATGTTAGAACTTTACTGTTTTGTATTTATAAAGCTTTATTTCATTACTATTTATTTCCTTCTTTTTTTTTAGTTTTTTTTTTAAATGACAAACAGATCAATACATCTACAGAGATCAAATTATATAAATATATGTAGTTAAGGAACCATAGTAAATTAGAAAAGAATAATATAGTGATATTAGCTTCTTACCAATTGCTTTATTGTAGACTGAAACGATCGATAGCGGTTACTATAATTATAAGAGTGTAACATAGATATGATTAGTAATTTAAACAATATTTCCGGTAATATTGTTTGATTTGGTTTTAGGTAACATTAAACTAAGGCCTCATTATGTCAGTAGCATGGCCACTATGACGAACATACATATGTATAGGAGACCATCATTATTCCAGGTGTAATGAGGAACACCTGCTACAGTAACAGCAGCCGGACCAATTAGCCTCCCTCCTATCAGGGCTGATGTTGCTTCTGCCTTTGATAGCGCAGCTACATTGCTCCTAAAACCTAATCTATGGTTCATTAACCAGGCCATTATGGCTCTGTGGTTCTTATTAACACTATTTCTCACCTGCTGTGTGTGCTGTAAATTGTAAAATTAAAAACCATTTATGGCGTTTTTTATTTTCCGAGACGGGGATATATTTCACTGTTTAAATTACAAGAATGAAAGAAAAAAAAACAAAAAAAAAAAACAGTCGTTGATGCCTAGGGGTTTTACTCCTTTAAACAACAACAAACAAGAATGAAAAATAGTCATAGTATGCAGTAATTTATGTAATTTATTGAGTTTCCCGATCCAATCATGTGCGTTATCATTAGGGCTAAAAATAAATAAAATAAAAATAGTAATAGTAATATTAATAAAATTGTAATGTTCCTCAACTGTCACAGCGTGCTAATCTATCTGGTAGATAATATTTAAAAGTCAGCTTGATAGACTTCGTATATCAAAATGTCATTTGTTGTTCCTTTCTTTTCTCTCAAATCTGTCACCCGGATTCATAAAGCGGTAACCTGATTTAATACTGCATGATTCCAAATCAGTCCAAAATAATGGACTCTTTATGGATGGGACTCTTTATCATACCTTTCAACAGCCAGCAATTTCAAAAAACTAGCTTCAGAAAGAGAAATTGCCCCTCGCACCGGAAAATTTCTTCCCCCAAATTCCTCTCTAAATTTCTTTATATTTTTTTCTCCTCTCTTAGCTATGAAATGAATTTTTTCAAATATTTTTCCTCCTCAATTTGTATTTTGAGATCTTGCTGCTCATTGCTCGTCTCATATCTAATTGTATGATCGACTATAAGAGCCTTCTGTCTTTTTTCACTAAAGGCCAAGATGTCTGCAAATCTTATTGAGCCTTCCATATCCAGGCAATACACTTCGAGGAACCATTTATGATTTTTTGTCTCCAGGTATTTGGATATTAGATACCTTATTATTGTGCTGGCCGGTGACGAAGAGCATACTATTTGGATACCTTCCCAATAAATGAGCTGAGATTTCCGACATTTGGACAAATTTGCGGCCGAGTGGTCCAACGTCTTCATTCGTCTGGCCTCCTGTCTCTGGAACTCCTCGAAGAGGAGCATAGCTGATATTGAGTTTCAAAGCATTTGTCCACTCTGAGCCCGTTAGAATTGGCCTGTCATACATAAATTTGTTATCCTATTGGTTTGACTTAAAATATTGGCATATCTATTCCCTGACACCTACACTTGCTCCAATCTTCAAATGACTATTCTCTCGGAGACTGCCTAATTTTCTTCACTGATATTGACGCTTCTATATTATTCGCATCGAAACCTAAGGTCAGCTCACTGTCGAACTTCTTTTCCAAAATAAAAATCGCCATTAACAGGGCATACGGTACACTGGCCAATGTTTGGGAAATAGACCAATGCTGAAGGGGATCCTCCCACTGTCGCCGCAAATACCCAGGCCCCTGAATCGCCGCGGCGCATAGATCACAACAGAGCACTGGTAGACCTATCATTCCTCCACACTTTTTCGTAATACGACGTCCATAGAATCCAGTATTGATGAGAGCAATTTCGACAATGGTGCAGTTTGGAGCGAATATATCAAATAAGGAAATACATATCCATTTATTACATTAATCTTCTGATCCGGCTTAAGGAGATTCGATTTAAATAGTTTTTCCAGATTTGGATTCATCCTACGTACAGAATTATCATCAAATTCTAGCTCACAGGAGAAACAATAGCTAAGGTTGTGTTTCCTTCTTCAATTGAAGTTATTACCTCCCCGGTGTCCGAACAGAACTTTGATTTATCCACTTACCCTTTTTTAAGATAATGCCAGAACTTTTTGGTGAGTTAATGGATAATGCTAACTCGCTGAATATTTTCCGAATGCAGTTAATTGTGCTCTCTGCAGCTTCGACATTGTGAGCGGTCACCGCTTGGTCATCTACGAAACCTGGAAGAACAGGGTCATGGTTATGATTTAATTTGCATCCTCATTCTACTGCAACTTTCGGTTATCAGAACTCTACATATAGTGAGTCAATAATAAAATTGAATAGTACCGGCGAAAGTGGTTCTCTTAAATATTTGATAAGACCAGTTTTATTATCATAGCTTGATTGATTATAATGGTATTGTGACACAACATACTTTCTATTCTTTTTCTTAGGTCAGCGGCGACACCCTTAGCTTCCAAGGACTTCAAAATATGGTCATGTCCAATATTGTCAAATGCTCCAGTTACGTCCATGAATGCGATTGCAGCATCTTTCTTATGTTATATCCTTAGTATCATAAACAGCTTAATGATTCTTGAGTTCAAATGGCACCGAGGTTGTCCTATCACAAAATCCCACTAGTTTGAATGAAATGAAATCTGCATTCGTAGTTCATGATCAACTTTTTCTATGAATTTTCTTAATACTGGGTGTATTTTTATGGGTCTCTACGAGTGCAAATCGTCACTGAAACTCTTTTCTATGTAAATTTAAACTGTTCCCCCACATCGGAGAATTTCTGGAACATAGCTGAATTTCAGTATGATGACTATAAAAATAAATAAATTTAATCGTTTTTTTTAAAACCATTTTCATCTCTGTAGAATCAAACGATATGTACGGGGTATCCAAGATTCATCCTTTTCGTTTAGTACTATATTAACCTTGTTTTCTTCAGTAATTTGTATGTTACTAATAAAATAATAATCTATAAATTTCTTAATGCCATCACAATAATTTGATACGTTGCAGATTAATTTAAACCTTTTCACAAATTATAGTTTTTGATATAAACAAGAAAGTACCTGTTTATGATTTACAAAATATAACAGCCCAGAAAAAATCTCTCAATTTCACCAGTAGCTTTAAAGAAAGCTCCACCCATCCCTACAATCCACCTCTAAATTGGCATTTCTGTACTTAAGTTATTAGTTTGAGTAAATTTAATTTATTTTTTTTATATTTATATTTATTATTATTATTTCGCTCTTATTCCATTCAGTTTATTTGCATTATTTGTAAATATGGTGCGAATAAAATCTTTTATCGCTGTTATCAATGTCCTTCATTGTGAGAGAATGTAATGTAACTTAATAAAGAAAACAAAAAATGAAGATAAGAATAGTTGGGGTGATCAGTCAAATAAGAACGCAAAAATAAATGATAATATTTATTTTGACATTTGCCGCCGTTTCGACCTGAAGTCCAGGCCTTCATCAGGGCTGTCTCCAAAGGTGTAAAAGGAGAAATCAATGACTGATCACCCCAACTATTCGTCTCTTCATTATTCACAACAGTCAACCATTTACCCACGATTAAAAAAAAAAAAAAACAATATTGCAAAATTTGAAGATAATTAGTCTGGAAATTATTTACTATTTAGTTAGTGTATATGTGACAAATTAGCCCAAATGTGCTAAATTGAGTTAAATATGATTCAATTTTCTGAGCAAGGAAAGGAATCGAACAAAAATTGCCAGCCCAAAGGGAGAAAACAAACCCAGAGGCAATAGCTGACTCCGGCTATAAATTTGATTATTTAACCACTAAGAGGTGGTGGCGGTGGGGAGGGGGTAATTTATGGCTCCACCTGGGAACATAGCCCGGCTCCGCGAAAATATAAAAACCGTTTCTATTGGCTGAGGGGAGCCAATAGCAGAATTAATAACAGCGGCATAAAGGGTGGGGGGTTACAAATTGGCCCTTGTATTGGGAGTTGTATGTTTATTGGCTGGCGGCTATTTACATATTTACCCAACCCTCTCCCCTCGCCGCAGCCCTCTTGTTCCAAGACCTAGGCCCTTTATGGCCCCATACTGTCTGGCCGGCGACTGGCGTTGTCGTAAAAGTGCCGTATGCTGTCTATATATCGCCTATCTGTCCCTTTCTACCAATTCAGGATTCTATTGCCCCAAGGTGCATTTTCGTCGTTCAACGGAAAGGATCCTCAAATACATATGGTGGATAAGTATTTAAGCCCACTTACCAATGTCTGGCCTGAATGGATGAAAAAAAAAACGAGAGAATTTCCACTTTTATTTTAATAAAATATTTGAAAACCAGCATGGTTACTCATACAATCACTCACAAGACAAGAAAACCATTTAATTACATGTTTTTAGAATTACGCGTGCTTTGCTTAATTAATCACTTTCATCAAAGGGATATAATTACCAGCTTGTCAATTTATATGCGTCTAAAGCCAGGTATATATGGTAGGGAATGAACTGGATGATCGGCCATACACAAGCAAGAGAAGTATTGGCGCTACCAGAACGTTACAACGTCTTCCTAACTCCATCAAAACTGTGTAAACCCTAGTAAACTATACATAATAAAAAAAGATAGAAGCCTAGGACATCTTCAGCCGCAAGTGTTGTAGAGAACAAGTATACTGACTCAGTGAGAATAGGACACACTCGATTATCTCACTTCTAACTTATCAAAAAGGAGGCACAACTGAAATACCAGTATTCGAACAGTAACGTACTGATATGCAATATTTTTCATAATTGCTCACATTTTTTTCACATCATAATCATGGATTAAAACCCGAATAAAGAACGATCCTTAAAGATGATAATAAAACTAAAGAATTAGTCCTCGAATTCATAATATCCAAGAATAAGATATCCAATAAAAAACAGATTATTTAAAAAAAGAAGAATGAAAAAAAATCAATTTGTGTAAAGTAAATAAAAATGTATTTATTTTTGTAATTATTGTGTATGTGCAATAAATTAACAAATAAAAATAAATAAAATAAGGTTAAAGACAACGTTAGTGAACAATGAAATTTTACTTAATTAAACAAGAAATACAGATGAACAACGAGCTTGGTAACTTCATGACCAGCATCCACATCATACCTATTTTCTCGAGTGCGGCTTTAATAATTGAAGAGGAAAGCTGAATATAAGTTCATATATGAGATATTTGGAAAAATTGAATTTTCTTCAAGATGTGTAAAGTGATCAATTGTTAATTCACATAAATTCAATATTTGCTTCATAGCCATGTTGATTAAAGTA